GTCCCAGGGCTCCGCGCCGGGGGTAAACTCCACGTCCACGGCAACTGCCATGTCATAGACGACAAGCGTGTAGGCCAAGAACGGACCGGTAGCTCCCAAAATCGAAAGGGGCTGACCGGAAAATGTCGAAAAGATCAAACCGCTGATACATGTGCTCATGATCATTTCCATCACTCCGAACTGGCCGTTCGTGCCGTCAAGGAACCGACTGCCGAACGTAATCGCAGGGGCAACGGCGGCGATGAACCTAACTGCCATGATTGACCCCTACCCAAGAAGAAAACAACTACACCTTCAGAGTGCAACACATTGGAAAAATTGAAAAAACTAAAACTCTGAATATTGAAGGACTAAAGAGCAGATACAGGATGGACGATACCGATTTCTGGAAGTTCTCCGGTGTGAAGGCATCCGTCCAATCACTGCAATACAACGGCGCCCGCCTGCGGATGTCAAGGCGCAGGCCCCCAGCAATCTTTCCAGTGAAGTCTAGTGGACCGTAATCCTTCTTGGGGGCATGCGCGATGTTTCCGGACTCGTAGCGGTACACGGCCTCGGCCTCCGCCATGATTCAGCGATGCGGGGCGATTGAAAGAAGCGCAACCAAAGGCTTGTGCCGAAAGACCTACCCAAGGAGGCCACATCGCTGTTGGGCCGTTCTTGCAGACACGACTTCAACCCGCAACACTTCGTATTTCCACCAAGAATGCAAACATCACACACAACGTGTTCTCAATTTGTGCTGCATGCACACACGTCGTTTCTGCCGATTGGGCACGACTGCCTATTCGACAGTTGTCAGTTGTCAGGGTTGCTTGCCCCAAGAACAAGTCGGGCTCCAGGCTCATAAACTTCACAAAGCAATCGTCTGGCTTGCAGCTTGCTTAGCTGTCGCAATCCAGCCTGCGCTTCAGTCTGACAAACCGTTGCTGTGCAGACGAGAAAACACCCGAATGTTGTGCTTGCTGGCTTGGGAATGACATATTTAAACGAAGAGCAGCACGCGACGTCTAGATTATGCAGCCCAACGGAATGCATAGCATACGAGCATAAACACCTGCGTTTGCATAGCACCAGTCGCAGAGAAGGCCTGGAAATTTTTTTCAATTTATCCGACACTGCCATGCAGAACCACCCGACCGCGATGTGCACGGGCGTGCTGATGGAGAACCTCAACCTATCGAGAAATAGGGTGAAACTGTCCACACCCAGCTCAACATGGCGTTTAACTCCTTGCTAATCAAAATGGGAGATGACAGAGCCATCGGCAGACGTATACCGACAAGGCGAGCCATGACACTGAGCGACCTGGGGACGAGCCGAAGCCATCGCTTAACGGCAATGTGACACGGCAGTGATGCATCCACGTCGGCTCGCAACTATGACAGCGAAAGAAGTCGCGGCGGATCTGACGAAGGCAATCACCCCAAAGTCTTGCACGCCAACCATGTACAGAAACTCGGACACCTCCAGCTGCCTGAATGTCCTTACGGAGCTCATCTTTGGAGACCCAACCAAGGCCGGCATTGAGCGTGGAGTCCACAAGCACACCAATACGTAAGACCTCAACCTCAGGAGCTAAATCATAGCCAAAACGCCACGCAATCGCAGCGCAGGCATCATTGCAAGAAAGAGCCGAACGGCACGGCAGGGCAAAGCCAAAGCCTGATCACAATGGTCGGACCGTCCACAGGCACGAAGTTCCATCACCCAAAAACGGTCCCGTCAACCCGATGTTGTGATTCCTCACGCAATATGAGCCATGCCCAGCACTGCATAAGCAAGTATCATAATAGCTATGAGCCGGCTGAGAGGACGACTACACCTCACCATCCAGTCACGACTAATGCGAGTCCCGAAACGAAACAGCTACAGAAATTATGGATCAATGGGGGAAGCCCTGGAGGGCGAACCGCCGAGCAACCACAAAGGTCTGTTCAACCAACATAGCGTCGGAAAACTTAGAACGGGCTTGAGATACGACAACTTGTGATCATCGCCTCCGAAAGTTTCAATCAGGCGTAGCTGGCATGAGAGCAAGACGAGCCTGAACGGCGCCACAATGTCGGAGTCAATCCATGACAAGCACCAAGAACGGAGAGACTTGGCAACGGGTTGGGCCCCATGCTCCAATCTACACCCCTGGTAGCAAGGAGTCTAAAGCCATCAGGTTCGAACGAAGCCTCCAGCGTCTTGCAAGCAAGTGACATAACTGAGAATGAGGAACGGTAAGCCTGAAACGATCAGCTGCACAAGAACCTCGAAGGAGCACGGCAAAAGGCACGTCGTCAGCACCATTTTGAACAGAAGATCGGCCCGACGGATTTCGGTGAGACCAGCTCGGTCAGGAGAAGAAAGACCCTGAAAACAAAGCGCTGCTAGGCTATGCGAAACGGCATCCATCTTTCGCAAAGCGGCACACTTGTAACAGCGATCAACAACGAACGTCTTGGCACTGCCCGGCAACGTGCATAGACGAACGATGGCCGATGTCTGGGCATCACAAGCAGGGCCAGCAGAAACCACTGACATGAAAGCAGGCTGCGCGGTCACGCAGCACGTCCGGCAGCCCAGAAGGCTGCAACAGGGCCTCAATTTCGGTGGGGCGAGGTACCACGATCGGCATATCACGGCACCTGTTGAAGGTGCCTTGCAAGGCTGTGAGCGGCGGAAACAAGAAAGCAGCGACACAGCCGTAGGAAAAGCACCGCTGGAAGGCCTTTGGGGACGGAGCCGAGCACAGCAACACATTGGCACCGACAGATTTTGTGACGTTTGCTACCCAACAGCATTCAGACCCTGAGTTTAGCGTCGTTTGCGGTAAACACTTGGGCACGCCAATGCTTTGCTGGCCAAAAACAACCATCGCTTGGACGGTATATCGTTGCGATCGGCCCCCAGTGCTGACGGCGAGCGTCACGCCAGACTTTCAAACGAAAACCGCCTTTTACATGGACCCTAAAAAGACGGACACTTCCATTGAAAGTCATCATCGCTGGAAACAGGTTTGAAGGATTGGCCTCTGTGGCTTGAGGCATCCAAAGTTGCACATTTTGACGACACTTCGCCTTGTTTGTTTGTAAATAATTTTGACCGAAAGTCGTTGTGCAACCGCTTGGTGGCCACACCCCACTCTCACCGCCACCCCGCCAGTTTGGCATACACATGGGGCAACGGTCGAGCTTGCTTTTAACATGTTTGTGCTAGAGATCTTGTTGCAGGCACTCAGTGAACCAGAAGTTAGGCAGTGAAGCGACGAGGTCGGGGCGAGACTGGTCGAAAGTGGGATTTAGGCAAGGCCAGCGATAAGGTTTCAGGCCAATGCTCTGCCCTGTGCCGGGTGCCAGGCTTTCTGGAAACGTTCGCCCGACCTGAAATTGGCACACACCAGAGGATCCCCCAAGACTCCAACACTCTTGGGCCCATACCAACAAAGATAGCACGAGTAGTTTCTACAGTTCTAAACAGCCTACAAATGAAAACGATAGTGATAACAACCTAATCAAACTGTAGAAGCCATACGGTTCATGAGATTACTAACTAGTTATTAGTACAGTGGCCATGGTGATACTAGCAGAAATAGCAACAACAAGAACCCTGCGTCCTGCAGCTCAGGCCTAAACTGGAAGACAGAGACCGACACACTTACGGCTAAGGGGTAGAGTTTAGGGCTCAGGGCTTGTAGGTTTATTTAGTTTGGCGGCAAGGAAACCTCTAAATCTTAAATCCTTGACTTTACGTGCTGCCCTAACACGCGCAGGGGTCACACAACCCCTAAACCCTAAACCCTAAGCCATAAACCCTAAACCCAACACCAAGCGAAGTAAGCGCAAGGCATCTCGCTGGATTTCAGCGTCTGCCTCGTGAGCGTCTGGGGGTTTCGGGTTCCGGGTGGAGGCGCCTTGGCTGTGAGAGTTAGGCTTCATAGATTTGGGGTCGAGGCTTTAGGGTTTAGGCTTTAGGATTTGGGGTAGAGGCTTTAGGGTTTAGGCTTTAGGATTTCGGGTAGGGGCTTTAGGGCTTAGGGCTTAGGCTTTGGGGTAGAGGCTTTGGGGTTTAGGGCTTAGGCTTTGGGGTAGAGGCTTTGGGGTTTAGGGTTTAGGGTTTAGGCTTTGGGGTTTAGGCTTTAGGCTTTGGGGTAGAGGCCTTAGAGTTTAGGCTTTAGGCTTCGGGGTTTGGGGTTAAGGCTTTAGGGCTTAGGGTTTAGGGTTTAGGGCTTAGGGTTGCTCAGGTGTTGTCACAACCGGGTGCTTCCGCACGGCACGCGTTGTTTTTGTCCCACCTGTCCTGCTTTCCAACCCCTAAAACACGTATAAGCCCTGAACACTCTGAACATCCATAAGCCCGAGGCAAAAACAACCCGACACCCAAAACAAAACACAACAAACAAAAGGAACGCAACGCGGCCCTCTGAAGACCAGAACCGCTGCACACTCCTAATGAAGCCTATCAGAGCCTCAATAATTAAAACCTGTATTTTGTTGTTGGGGGAAATGGGGGGAGGGGGTATATCATACTATAATCACAGTAGGAAAAAACCCTAAGGAATGGTCCTAGTAATTGTCCAGGCTGCTGTACATGAAGCACTTACTGTCAAAAAGTTGAGTTGATATGCTGAAATATAGTTCTTGCTGTTGCATATTACTGAAATGAGTAGTGATAAGAACAATAGCATTCACAAGTAAAGTGTTAATAACCTTTTGTGGGCTATTACTACTGCCATCACTATGGATATGGTTGCTCTTGAAGTTCACCTGTGAGCATGAGCCGCGTTCACAAGAAACCCCAAACCCTAAACCCTAAACGACAAAGCCCTACACCCTAAAGCTCTAAACCCTCCGCGCTCATAAGAACCGGGGCTAGCCTGGCCCGGTAGTTCACAAAGCTGCTCGTACTTCAAGCCTGGACAAGTCGCTGTATCGGAGTTCTGCTTAGGGTTGCGATGCTATTGTAGGGAAATGAATGCGAAACCCTGGGTCTTTGTTAGGGTTTTAAGTTCCTTCAAGGGATCTATAGGGTTCTACAACCTGCTCAAGAAACCCTAGGTCTTTATCAGGGTTGTTTAGACGAAGCCGACTCATCTCCTCGGGTTACAGGGCTAGGGTTTCTTAATCAGGTTCCTACGTTACGCTATCATGCTGGTTCTGGAAGGGATCGCAAAGGAGCTCTGTGTTCTATAAGGGTTCTAGACGGGTTCTACGAGGAGTCACGGAAACAAGCACTCTGTGTTCTAGAAGGCTTCAGGATTCTCGAAAGCTTCTCACACAGGTGTGATTAGACTGAGGACTTTGTGTTCTACAAGTTTCTGTTCAAGTTCTGAAGGGGCTTGATTGGGGCTCAGGGCTTACAGTTTGGAATCTGCAATTCCGCCCTAAACCCTAAACCCTAAAACCCTTAACCATAAAACCCTCAAACCCACAACCCTAAAACTCTAAACCCTAAGACCCAGACCCTAAAATCCTAAACCAATTTTGGAGGTGCGGTTTCGGCTTTAGGGTTCGAGGCCAAATCGCCCTCCAGACCTGAAAAAGGTACGCGCCAGAGCCATACGCCTGAACGTTTAGGGTTTTATGGTTTAGGGTTTTAGGGCTAGGGTTTAAGTTCACCAATTCGCAAGATTGAACTCTGGCTGACAAAGGCTTTCGGATTCGCCTATCGGGCATTCGACCCTTCGTCAGAAGGAACGCCCGTTAAAAGCGCTGAGGGGCCATGAGTCACAACAGATGCCTGATCCAAGTACCCGTTTTAGCCAAGTATTCCAGAGCTGCTGCTGTTGTTGATGCTGACGCTGCTCTTGATGGTGATGGTGATGACGACAACATGATCAAACTCCGCTGGTCTTTCGTTGGCTATGTCACGACCTGCAGTCGCCGCCGGCATCGTCTTAGAAAGAGATAGGAGCACGTCAACTGTAGGTCTGAACAATTTGCTGCAGGCTCGACTTATAGTCCCTACATAAGTATTCGTTTTTATACAACGAAAGTAGGACTCTAGCTAGTGAGGCCTGCTATTACCATGCTGGCCCTTCGCGCTTCAACTCAAAGTGCATGTCGTTGCCCCTGCTAGCCGTCCCATGACCTGAACCAAGACTGAATCCCCTTTTACCCCGAACCCTAAGCTGCTGTGGCCCCAACAGAACCCTAAACCCTACATCCCTGAATTCCTCCGCATACATCCGTCTTCATGTGGGAGCTAGGATTAGGGAGACCCTTGCGGATATAGACCCTCTCACTCTCAATAAGGTCCCTCTTAAGAGAACCAGAAGTAGGGTTAAGCAGGGTCCCCATTTAAGGGGTCTCCCTCATACTACCTAGGATCATGGGCTATTGATTTCAGAGTCCGTTCACCTCCTCCGTGAAGTTCCATCGCGCCGAGGAGAAGACGTTTCCTTGCCACGGGCTTTATTGGAGCTCTTTTCCTACATCGGGGGAAAACAGTTAAGGCTACATAGAACAAGGATCCACCCTACTAATTATTCAGGTTCTGTAGGGGGTATTAAAAAGCAGGTTGCTCATCTAGGGGTTCTTGAAACAAGGATCCTGCTATTTGGGAGCTATGTCAGAATCCCTACTGCCTACTGTCACAAGCAGAATTATCGTCACCACCCTCGCCATGTAGAAGTACAAGCAGGCCCAGATGTTTACTCAGCCCCAGAACCGTTCAGCCCGCAACCCAAAACCCCAACCACCGGCTGCGCCCTATGGTTTTGCTGAGGCCGCTTCCACAGCCGCCGTCGTGGAAGGGCACCACCCTTTGGCTTCGCGCGCTTCACCAGGGTTTTGAAGCTTTGGGATCCCATGAGGGTTCTATTGAGGTTTCAAGGTTTAGGATTGAGGGAGGCAACTTAGTGCGCACACACACAAAACATTGTACGACACTACGCCTGGTTGGGTACACTCTAAGGCTGTGTTGCAACGGCATGCTGCTAGACCCTGAACCCCAAACACCAGAAAAACGAGTATGGTAACTTTATGCCATGGCACTTGTTCGACTACCACTACCACTACCTCTGCTATTACTACCACTACCACTACCACCCCCACTACCACTGCTGCTAGGCTACGACGACGACCACTGGTGTGCTGCTACTACTACCACTACCACTACCACTACCAGTACCACTACCACTACGACGACGACAACTACTACTGCTACTGCTACGGCTACGGCTACTGCTACTGCTACTGCTACTGCTACTGCTGCTCCTCCTACTGCTGCTGTTGCTGCTGTTCCTACTGCTGCCAACCCCACTTTTTACCACAATTAGAACCGCCGTGACAATTTGTACAGCCTCAACTACTACCCATGCAGCCCAATACCCCTTAATTCAGGAACATGTCTTCAATCGAGAAGCCTAGCACTACGAGGACGCGATATTCCTTCACTAAGGTGTGTTGGGCTACATTCTAGCACACTCATAAGAGGGACTACATGGCACTATTATACAAGAAGGATGTGTTACTGACTCCCTATTCCGACCCATGTAGTACTTGGAGGGTCGGGAGACTTAGTAAGTAGGTAATAAGTAGACTTATAAGTACCCTAAAAGGGACCCTAATTGGGGTATTTACTAAGTCCCCCGACCCTCCAAGTACCACTGCCACGGACAGCTGCAACCGCCGAGCGCTAGGCCGGAAGAGCGGGGATTGAAGACACGAGCCCGCGGAAGGACTGCGCCGCGGGAAGGGGCTCGTTTAGGCTTCTTAACGCATCTCAGACACCACGGAAGAGACTAGAAGAAGCCGCAATATAGTAGTAATCATAAATATAATGATGTTCATAACAAATATTATAATAACAGACATAATCACGATCCTCATCCTCATCCTCATCCTCCTCCTCCACATCATCACCATCACCATCACCGTGATCATCGTCATCATCGGCTTAACCAGTCTACGAGTCTCAAGATGTAGCGAAGGCCCTGCAAATTTCGTTAAGGATTTCTTGCGTAACGTTTCAGTACTTCTATCAAGGATTCGATTTCGGGTTGTTTTGGACGGCTGGGGGTTCAGATGGCCTGGAAACGCTATGTGTTCATCTCTACCAGTGTGGTTTAGGGTCTAGGGGTTTAGGACCGAGTTTAGGGTTTAGGGGTTTTCATGCATTGAGTGCGACCGCAAAGCTCTTGTGTCTTTGCCACAGCTTTGATGCTGATCACTGTGATGCTGTTGATGCTGCTATTGCCGTGGCTTTAACCCTAAACGCCCAAGAAACAGCCCTGAGCGGCGCACCCCGCGTGAATGCAGCTGACCTCGGCAGTCAGGACCCATGCCGGCAGATCCGGAATCGAGGGCAAAAAAGCCCGCTGCAACTTCTGGCCCTGACAATAAACTCTAAATCCTGAGCCATAAAGCCCCAAAGCCCTAAAACCCTGAAACAACACATAATGCCCGTCACCCGAAAGACCTGAGCCGTGAACTTCAAGAAGTTGATTCATAATATAGGGTACCTTTGAAGGGTTACTGTAAGGGTATAGGGGCCTTCACAGCTAGAATAGGCATACTTCAGGCGTTCCTGTTAAAGAGATCTATAACGGTTACTGAAAGGGTTTAGTATGTGCATATATATATATATACACATACATACATACATATATATATGTAAAAAAAATATATGGGCCGTAACAATTGGAATAGGGTTTGGGGATTGATCATAGTGAAATCACACAGAGGAACTCTAACTCGCAGAAAGAGTACTACCAATCGTTCATGCTGCTTCATCATAAAGTCCTTCTGAAAGCCGTATTCAACCCGTCCGAAGTCCGATTTTAGAGTCTTGAGAAGATGCATAAGAGTTTATGTCAGCACTCTACAAGGGGTCGCGAGGTTTGTAAGGGTGTCATAAAAGCTTGTAGGAGTGCAGTGGTTTGTATTAGGACTGCACAAGGGTTGTCAATGATGTACAAATATAGTACAATATGTATGTATAATTATAAAAGATGATATAACATTACATGGTATAATACTATCTATCTATATATATATATATATGCATATTGCTTCATGTACAGGGCTTTACTATGCGAGCCTTATCAGGCCCTGTTCTAAACCTTCTACAGCCGATACAAAAACCAGGTAACACCCCTTTCGTAGGTTTAGGGTTTAGGGTCTAGGGTTTAAACCCGAAACCTTCTTTAACACGACAGTTCCCTTGGCCCAGTGCTCCAGAGCGCGTGGTCGACGACCGCCAGGGCAGAGAAGCTGGACCTTGGACACCCAGGGGTTTACAGTTTTAGGGGTTTGAGACTTGGGGTGTAGGGTTTGGGGATATAGGGTTTAGGAATTTCGGGTTTAGGGGTTCAGAGACTTAAGGTTGGCTGGCTGAGAGTTTTGCAGCGGATTGCTGCTGCATGTTATTAAATTCTACCGAACCTAATTAACAATGTACAGTCTTGACCCTAAACCTTGAACACCACACCCTGCATCTGCCTGGATTCTCGTAGATTCCGACTCGGGCACAGAAGCAAAGGCACGAACTGTTGTGCTTTGATTTGGGATTGCAGGTTTAGGGTAGGAGCATAAAAATATTACAATAAAATGAAGAACAAGAGGAACGACAAGGTTGTCATCACCCACATCATCATAGTATATAGTAATATTCGCAGCAGTAGGATCTGTTCAGGGTCCTACAATTCGGGGCCCTATACAAGGAGCCAGTTAAGAGGCACACAAAGAGACTGTTTGTTTAGTACTCAGGGGGCCGCATTGCTAAACGTCCACGATGATGAGAGATGTTTCCTTACCTAAGGTGATAATAGTATGACTGTATCTTGTCCGGTATGTATGTTATGTGCATATATATATATATACATATATATATATATATATATTTGCACAGATGTGTGCATGTATCTATATGTATATGCTTATTGACAAACATCCATGTACAATTCGCTTGTCCACGTATTCAGCGAGGTCTGCATTCACATGTTTAGTTCCAAGCCTAAACCGGCCCTCAACCCTAAACCCTAAACCTCAATACCATAAACCCTAAACCCTAAACCCCCAAACCCTAAACCCTAAACCCTGATGCAGCTGGAGGCCACATCGGCTTGTTTTCCACCGCCGGGCCGCGTCAACCCTACTCACTAAACTCCAAACCTAGGTTCGGGGGATCAGCTTTCTTATTTTATACCAAAACCCTAAACCCTATGGGATCAGCTTTAGGGTTTAGGGTGGGGATCAGCTTTTTTTGTACCTAAACCCTAAGCCCTATGGGATGAGCTTTAGGTTTAGGGTGGGATCAGCTATTTTTTACCTAAACCCTAAACCCTAAACCCTATGCGATCAGCTTTAGGGTTTAGGGTGGGATCAACTTTTTTTTTGCACCTAAACCCTAAACCCTAAACCCTAAGGGATCGGCTTTAGGGACTTGAGGGTTTAGGGTTTTAAGGCCGCTGTCACAATGCCATGGCAGCAGGGCTGATCGGGGCAGCATGGTGGAAGGACATTTTCCAGCCGGTCCTTAGCAGGGTTTGGGGTTTAGGGTTTAAGGTTTAAGGGTTAAGGGTTTAGGGTTTAGAACCCCTGGTTGAATGAAACAGGAGGTCCTGCAGGAGGTTACGGATACGGCGTCGGTTTCTTCAGGGTTTAGGATTCGGGATTTTAAGGCTTTAGGATTAGGCAAGAAGGCGTTAGTCTACATTAAAACCCCTTTGAATCAGAGCCATGGGGCTCTCAGTCAGACTGCGTATGTCAGGCTCTTGCAACCTCTTACACCAGATCTTGTAGAACCCCTCAAGCCCCATAAAAACCCTAAACCACCTTAAACCCTAAACCACCCCAAACCCTAAACCCCAACCCCTAAATCCCAGACCATAAGCTCGAGGCCTTAACCCGAAACCCCAAGCCATGGACCAAGATATCAGCAAAGCCTCGGCGTCCGCTCGAACAAATTGACGGCAAGTAGAATCATGCCACCTTCGACGCGCTCGTAACCTTACACAGCTTTGGGTTTTTAGGGTTTAGGGGTTTAGGAGCTTAGGGTATCATAATAGGACACGGGATAGGACTCTGCTGAAGAGTGGTTGCAGCCTTGGGAGAAACAGAAACCTCGCAGAAAACAGCGTAATCTGCGGTGCTAAGCCCGCTGCAAACAACTCTGCCCGTGTTGCCGCACATAGCAACGGATGGCTTTAAGCATTCGATGTCCATGGCACCTCAACAGCCAGGAAGGACTCAGCGAGCACAATTGGTAGCCCAGAGATCCCAATACCCCCTAAATAAGGAATATACCTTAAACTATAGGGGCCTTAATATCTGATTTATGAAGGTACATTCCTGAATTAAGGGGTATTGGGCTCTCTGGGTACAGGACACGTACCTTCCGAGCGGTTCAACGGCCTCCTTGTGTGAGAATGATCTTCCAGGAGTCTGCCACTGCATCAAATCCTGAGACGAGTTGAGCCGCTGAGAGCGAAGCCACGGCTCCACGAAACACGTGCGATGCAACGCTGACGCCACAGCAAACTCTAGGCGGCACAGTGGAAAACTGCAACGACATCCTAAACCCGTAACCCTCCCTCGGACCTCGACGTAACAGCAACAGCAACGAAGAACAAGCGAGGAGGAGCCGAGAATGAGCGGATTAGTACTGGTACTGTTGTTACCACACAAGTACTGCTCTTAGATTGGTATCGCTCCCTAAACCCTAAACCCTAAACCCTAAAACCCTAAATCCTTATACTGTTACGACTCATTATTAAAGTCCTACACCCCTCGGAGCAGCCCGGCGGCCGTGCAACGGGGGCCTCGCCGGGTGCACGCAGCAGCTCCTAGAAAGAAGAAAGCCCAGGGTTTCAGACGTTTAGGGTGCAGGCCTAAACCCTAAACCCTAAACCCTAAACCCTAAACCCTAAACCCTAAACCCTAAACCCTAAACCCTAAACCGTGCAGGGTTTAAGGGTTTGGGGCCCAGGGTTTTCAGACGTTTAGGGTTTAGGGGTTAAGGGTTTGGGGTTTGGGGCTGAGGGTTTCAGGGTTTGTGGGTTTAGGGCTTAGGGTTTGGGGTTTAGGGCTGAGGGTTTCAGGGTTTCAGGGTTTAGGGTCTTAGGGTTTTTAGGGCTTAAGGTTTGAGGTTTAGGGTGGAGAGTTCAGGGTTTAGGGGAAAATCGCGGGGGCCTTCATGGTTAGAACAGGGTTTGGGGACATATGAACAGAGTTTGGGCTTACAGGGCTTTGGTCGTTAGGTCCAGTAGGTTTTTTGCGGGTTCTGATGCTTTAGGGAGTTGGCTGAACAGCGGCGGTTTCTAGCCCGGCAGTACGCCAAACATCTGCGGCCCAAAAATACGGAATAGCTTGCACCCCCCCCCCCACCCAAGACCAGAACAGCTTTGATTGGATCGGACACCTTATACCCTAAACCCTAATTTTTAGTAGCCTCCCAGAGTACCCCAGATCCGAGATGATCCGAACACCTGGGCTCACACTGCTGGGGTAAACCCTAAACCCCTAAAACCCCAAACCCCTAAACCCCAAAGCCCTAAACACGGGTAACCAACCACCACTCTCAGATGCTAGCAGTGCTTAGGTCTCTTTAACATGCAGCTTGGTATATGAAGGGCCTTCATAACTAGAACAGGTTTTTTTTGGGGGGGCTCCTTATGATAATTAGTAGGATATACCCCCAATCCCTATTCTAATGCTTGAGGCCCCTATATTAGGGTTTATGGTTTAGGAAACCTCGTTCGCTCGGAACCCTACTAAAAGCTAAGCATGAAAACCACGGAGGGCTCCCTGGTGGCGACCCTACACCAAGCTGAGCACACAACAAGGGCCCTAACAATTTTGAATAAGTTTCAGGAGGGGTATGTTGTACTATTCTGTTAAGGATCCCTCAGGAAAAGGGGTGGTATATTATACATTCTGTTAAAGATCCCTCCGGAATACGAGTATAATCATGTAACAAGGGCCCTAATAATTTTGAATAGGGTGGAAGGGGTGTATATTAGACCATTCTGCTAAGGATCCCTCAGAAATACAAGTAGAACCATTACTTACTTCCAAATAAGCTAGGGAAATAAAGGTTAAACTTTCAGATTACTACTAAACTATAAGAACCCACAAAGTTTAAAGGTTGGGTATTGGAGAACTAAGATTAAGGCCCCTCAGCCTAGACTTGGCAGGAAGAACTCCTGGGGCTTTCAAGCCAGATCCCCACCATTCGGGCAACGCTGCCCTCCCTGCAGCGAAGGAGTCTGCTGCCGGTTTGGGGCTTAGGCTTTAGGGCTTTAGGGTTTTAGGATTTAGGCTTTGGAGCCGGCGTCTAAAGGAGTCTCTCTATCAGAAAGACATCCTTCATTCTGGAGGGGCAGTCCCTGAAACATGACAAGGGTCCTACATTTTGGTGAGTGTATCTTTCTGGTCCCCTGCTCTCCGAAACAGGAGGGTTTGAGGGCTGACCGTGGGAGGGTTTAGGGTTTAGGAGGGTTTAGGATTCAGGGCTTTAGGGTTTAGGGGTTTGGTTAGACTCTAAACCCCAAACCCCAAATCCTAAACTCCCTAAAGCCCCAAATCCTAAACCCCAAACCCTAAACCCCTAGGGTTTAGGGGTTTAGGGTTTCGGGTGGGGAGCAGGGTCTTCGGGCGTTTTCTTGTTCAATCTACTGCAGCGTCGGAGCTTTGGGCTTCAAGGGCTTCATGCTTTAGACACACACGACCAGATTAAAGTGTATGTGCTCATATAATTACGGTATGCTATGGTAACATATAGTAGGTTGAAGAAATTCTTAAATTCATGGTACACTATGGCAAAATACAGTAGATTGTAGTATATTATAATACATTATCGTATCCACTGGGATGGCACCGTCACCAGTCGCACAGACTGGTGTCGTAGACGAATCCTTGCACACTCCTTCGACAGGACCCCCGTCCCTAAGAATCGAACCGTGGAAGCTTTTCAACACCGAATACCGAATCAAACCCTACGTTCCTACCCGCCCTCCAGCCTGCACGAAGGACTCCTGAAACTCAACCTTCACCCTAAACCGCCTGAACCTTCCAGACTGCAAGCTCGAAACTGAAACTCTAAACCCCTAACCCCTAAACCCTAAACTGAAACTCTGCAATGCCTGAAGGATTCGTAGAACTCTCGGTTGGCGCTTAAGATCGCCGCTTCCGCGTCCAGCGACTTGAACTGCAGCTCATCCCGGAGACGAGCCGCTTCCTCGGTTTTGGGGCCGTGGGATTAGGGACAGATGTTTATCGGGATATGTGGGCTGAAGGCTTAGAGTTGAGGGACAGGTTCTGTAGGGTCATGTAGGGCCTTGAAAGGGTTTCGAGAAGGCTTGAGAAGGGGTGTCTGAGGGTGTGGCTACCGGGGAAACTTATAGGTTGTAATTGTATATGGCAATATCCCAAAACCAAGCAGTAAGGTCCACCACCACCACCACCACCACCACCACCACCACCAACAACAGCAACAACAAAACGACAACAACAACAACAACAACAACAACAACAACAACAACAACAACAAAACGACAACGGCGACGACGTCGACGACTACTGCTAGCGATGTCGGCAAAATAACCTTGAAGATAAAAACAACAACAATACTTACAAAAGTAGCCAGGCACAACATCAATAGCTCGATAGTAGTAGCAGTACCAGTAATCATACTCGATTTCCGATACTATAAAAACCTAACGGCAGTTGTAGTAAAAGCAATAATAATGCACATAACCATAATCTTACACTCATCGTGGTATCTTCAAAGAAGAAAGCTCGTACTGATCACGAACACCAGTGTGGTGATAAAATAATATTCATGAAAGTGCAAGTAATACTAACTATGATACCACTAAGACAAAGACTAAAATCTTGAATAAGCGATAGGTTCTTATTGCTAGTACTAGTGACATTTTTATAAACACGTAATAACATTATGGTTATTTTTGTTACTACACGAACATCGATAGTTAGTCCAATAGTCATGACAGAACGAAAGAAATATCATCAAAGGCTCGGCGTAGTCTTCCGCTTCCACCGCGCAGCGGAGCTGCTCTTCCAGCTCGGCGACATCGGAGGTGTCGGTGTCGCCTCCTAGTTGGTTTAGGGTCAGGGTTCAGGGTTCAGGGTTCAGGGTTCAGGGTTTAGGGTTTTGGGGGTTTAGGGTTTAGGGTTCAGGGTTCAGGGTTTGGAGGTTCAGGGTTTAGGGAGGGCTAGGTAGGGTTGTATGCGGTTTTATAGGGTGTTAATGGGCTTCAGGAGGATTCTGTGAGGTTTGATTAGATTTTCATACAGGGTTTCGTAGGGTTGTGCTACAGAGGTCGATCAGTGCTGATTTCCCAACTGGTGTCGTCCCTACACGACTAGTTTTGGGCATATTTGTGCTATATGGGGGTTGCGCACAGCTCTCTACCTGTAGTATGAGGGCCTACACAGCGGAAGAGGGTTTTGGGGGTCGACTGTAGAAACTCTGCCGGGAGCAACAAGGGAATTTGCCCCCCTGATTCTACAAGTTATATGCTTCGACAGAGGTAATGCCCCTACTGCGGCGCGCCCCTCATTTTCTGAAGAGCGAGGGCATACATGGGCTTAGGTGGTCTAGGACTTCAAAGGTTAAGGGCTTATGGCTTAAGCGGATCAGGGTCATTCTGCAGAGTGGTAATGTAGGGGCCCTAACAGTTAGAATACGGTTTTCGGTGTTAGTTTTTATTAATATAACGATAACAAGGGACACTCCAAAAAAAAGTATTGGCAATTATTCAAACCTAGAACATACTGGCAGTGCAAAGGCCCTGCCTCGTGCAGACATCGAACAGCGAGTTCGGGTCGAGGCACGGCGTGCTATGGCAAAGCCTTGTGCAGATCGCTACAGCCGCTACAGAAAAACCGAAAACATGTAAGGCTCATTATAGAGCCCTTATAGTGAGCTTTATAGAACCCTTATAGAAACCCTTCTGGTAACCCTTATAGGGCCAACAGCAACTCTTCAAAAGCTCGGAGCTCTGACATCTTCGGGGTGCCATATGGGTAGTTCTCTAAAATTCGGGTCCCTTTTGGGGTCCTTTTTATACGGGTGCCGTGCTATATTGGGGACCTAAAAAGGGACCGTAATTTAGAGAATTATCCATACATGTATGGAAGCGGTCATGTGCTGAGGTTTCTTGGGTCTCTCAGCTTCTGTATCTATGACCCTAAATCCTAATACCTACAACCTAAACCCACAGCATGTAGATGCCCAACAACCACAAACAAGTCTTGCAGCCCACCTGCAAGCCCGGCTATGGCAGCGATGCGCCTCGCCTGCAGCGTCTGGGTTTCGGGGCTGCTGCTGCTGCTGCTGCAGGGCTTTTGAGGCTTTAGGGATAGATAAGGGTTTAAGGCCTGAGAGCTTTAGGGATATAAAAGGGTTTAGGATTTGAGGACACGCGGCAAAATGTCTTTGAATACCGACGTTACCACCGAAAGCTTGTTTTGAGCACCATGCTGCTACAGTAAACCATCTTGTTCAGGGGTTGTTGTTCGCTTACGGGATAAGATAGTTTGACTAACAGCGCAAGTCCTTTGCTTGCTTGTGTCGCTGTTCATGTTCGACCAAATGTATCGCTGACGTTGGGATGCTCGTGTAGCTTAGAACGAATGTCGGTAACGAAAAGTAAACCATCTTGTTCGTGCGGCGTGCCACGATTCAATTTTCCTTCCTAGTAGTCAACTGCTACGCATGTCTCGAACACCATCACCATTACCATCGCTGTCTTCATGTGGTTTCTGGTCAACACTGCTGTTGCCCTGCCGTTGTTGCTGTGGTTGAGGTGCCACTTGCTCCTGCCACGGCTCCGCTATGAACCCTTACCGCAACTCTCAGCCTTCGTCTGTATCTTCTTATTCCATTCCCACCCATAGGCCCCAGAGTAGTTCATTTTTGGGGTTACTTTATAGGATTCTATATATGAGCCCCAAAAAGGAACTACTTTAGGGCCTATGGGTAGTTCCCCGACGCTGCAGTTGGAAGCAACGAGTGCCAAGCCGCCCGGCTGGTCCTGGCCGCATCGCACAGCGACGAGGTGTCTGGAGTACCTGGTCAGCAATACAGGGGGCCTTAATAATAATTAGAACAGGGTTTTGGGGTGTAACGTACTAATATAAACTATAAATACAATAGGGAACCCTAACGAATAAAACTTGAAGTTATTATGGCTTCTACATCGCTTTCAACGGCCTCTCTTGCATAAAGGAAGAGCGAAACCTAATTTAGGCTTCACTCAGACGCATCCGGTTGTAAAGCTTCCAGGGCATCCCTTACTGCGTATTGGGCTGTCTGGGTTCGTGACTCTTCCACGCTGCAAGGTTTAGGGTTCAGGGTTTCTGAATCTTCTACAGGCTTATAGGGTTTAGGGGGATTTTAGTTTGGTTTAGGGCTAGATCCTCCGACACACGTTGGGACCTACAGATCCAAGTTCGTCCGCGTGGCTTCGGAGGCTTTGGAGAGCCGGCGCTCTGCTTTCCCAGGGGCTGGAAGTGCTCACAAAAGCGGCCGCGAGCATGGCTTCAGCGGCGAGCTGCAGGGGTCAGAGGCTCCGAGAGACTGCGAAGCTCGTGTCTATTCAGAGTAGGGATGCTTGATGAAGGAGCCGTGAGTAAGGTATATTCTCGTGTCGGAGTTTGTCTCTGCTGAGATCTCCTGATTCCAAATACCAACTGAGGCTGGTTTGAGCTGGGTTTGGCTGCTTTGCCATCTGAAACTGCTGAAGAAGTGGACAGTCTCGCGAGCATGTCCACCTTTCGACAGACTCTTCTGAGAGAGCACTGCGCAAAGCAAGGACATCCAACATGTCAGGCTAACTGTAGTATAGTTATAATCAGGAACCCTCAGGAAAAAAATGGCAATTCTGTAAGCTTCTGTATTAGGCTTGGAGCCCAGAGAGCCCAAAGGTCCAGAATCAAGCAATATGGCTGATGTCTTAACCACCCCTAAACCCTAAACCCCTAAACCCTAAACCCCTAAACCCCTAAACCCCTAAACCCCTAAACCCCTAAACCCTAAACCCTAAACCCCTAAACCCCTAAACCCCAAAAACGAGGCTGCGGCTCACAGAGGAACCAAACCAGGGAAGGGAGCACAAGCACCTCCCGACGGAAGGCCGAGGCTTCCTCTAAGGGCTTTGGGGGTTTTGGGTTTTAGGGTTTAGGGTTTCGGGTTTTAGGGTTTAGGGTTTAGGGTTTTGTGGGTTTAGGGTTTTGGGGTTTAGGGTTTTAGGGTTTTAGGGTTTTGGAGTTTTGGGTTTAAGGGTTTTGGGGTTTAGGGTTCAGGGGTTTTGGGGTTTAGGGTTTTAGGGTTGTGGGTTTTAGGGGTTTTGGGCTTCAGGGTTTAGGGTTTAGGGTTTGGGGTTTTAGGGCTTTAGCGTTTTAGGGGTTTCGGGCTAAGGGCTTTAGGGTTTTAGGAGTTTCGGGTTAAGGGCTTTGGGGGTTTAGCGGGTTAGGGAAGGCCCCATAGGACCATAAGAGTACTGTAGGGTCGGGCTTAGGATTTAGTCGGAGAGCCAAAAGAGACTCCATAATTAAGGACTGTGCCGTTTCCGAAAATAGGGGACCCTAATCTAGTACCCTAAACAGTAGAGCCCCAGTGCTTTTGGGGGTTTAGGGTTTCGGGTGGACGACTCAGAGGGTCAGGATTGAGGATCTCGGGCTTTAGGCTTTAGGGGTTTAGAGTGTAGGGTTTAGGGCTTTGGGTGTAAGGGTCACCACACAAGGCCCCAACACCTAAAACACAAATGAAGTTTAAAAGCCACCAAAGCCCCTGCTGCATCCAATTCCCCGAAAGCCTCACCCCTCAAATTCTGCGAGGCCCCATTTCAGCCCAGAGAGACCACAGATTTGAGGCATACAGCTCCAGTCATAATCTTGAGCAGCCTTTTATTCATTAGGTAGAAGGTACACCTCAAATTGGCAGCTCCCCCAATCACCTCAACCTCTCAAACCCTTCTAGAACCTTTAGTGCTGAATGGGACCCTTCACTCAGCCCCCTAAAACCCTGTAATATAGGGGCCTTAATGATTAGAATAGGGTTTTGGGGCCCATTAGACTATACTTACGATAAGCACCCCCCAAAATAGTATTGGTTATTATTTCAGCCCCTATACTATCTCCGTGTTTAAGGTAACCTGTTTGGGGTACGATAAACCCTTCAGCATCCCAAAGGTGAACCTTCAGATCCCCTGGGCTACTGGACAACTAAGAACTGCGGATTTCACAGGGGACCTACAAAATGGTTGGTTTCGGTAGGTTAAAGTAACGATTACCTACTCTTACTACTAGGTTCCTCATATCCAGAGCTTTCCCCGCGCCTGTCTGGTTGGAGACTCTGCGTCCTGTGGTGGCCTGACATCGCATGAGGGTTTTCGGGGGGTTACCTGCCGCCGAAAAGACGTACCTTAATAGAATTCCTTATTATGGTCTATATATATATATATACATATAAAGATAAGTCTTTTGGGCCACGGTTTAGGGCCACAAGAACGAACACCAATAGCGGTCATGACCAGGGCTTCACAGTCTTGCGCAAGAAACACGCATGTGACTGAGGCAGGCTCTGTATCGCCACGGAGCTTGCCGAGCCTCGCACATGCAAAAAGGCGGAGTTTAGGGTTTAGGGTTTAGGGTTTAGGGTCCCTAACTGCAGTGCTTTTGGGGCAATGTGTGTTTGTGTGACTTCGCTCATGCGGATCAGTGCCAGAGGTTGTTTGAGATCCCTAAACCCTAAGCCTTAAACTCTAAACTGCAAACCCCTAAACCCCTAAACCCCTAAACCCTGAAGCCCCAAAATTATGTCTTTCCGTTCCATCAAAGCATTGCACTAAGCAATGGTCCTCCTCACAGGAGGTTAATGGAATTGAAGCTTCCTTCAGCTGAACTGAGGCTGACATGGCAAGGCAGCTAGATGCACAAACACCGTCTGCAGATTCATCTTCCAATCTCTAGCTCTAGAGTCTAGACTTGGGCCTTGATATCACAAGCTTTTCCTAGACAAGCCGACAGACTGACACGGAAGAACCCGGCAAACTCGACCAAAGCATGCTTAGCAAGGAACACGCGCGCGCGCGCGAGCGCTCAAAGCCCATGCAAAGTGGCAGCTTGCCAGGTTCCGGAACCCGAGGCCTGAAAGTAATATAGGGGCCTGAATTAGAATAGGGTTCTGGGGTATATTATACTATAGTTATAATAAGGAACCCCCAAAAACCCTACTCTAATTATTAAAGCCCCTACATTAAGACTGACATGTAAGGATGATGCTATGGGTTGTCAGTGTCATTGATTCAGTGTTGTTGGTGCAGCTACTGTTCCTGCAGGCTACTGTTCCTGCGGGCATCACCAGCATCATCGCCACCACAATCATCATCATCATCACCATCATCATCATCATCAGTTTTCGTGCTGCTACTGCTAGTCTTGTACCGAAATAAAAAACCGCTAAGCTCGTCTATCACAATGTGCAATGGCCTGCATCAGTCTTCGCGGGCATCTCTCAGCCCCCATCCGCGCAGATGGATGCAGAGCTTGGCCCGGGAGGCAGTTCTGACTTGCCGGGTTTCTGATTTATGGTTTAGGGTTTAGGGTTTAGGGTTTGGGGTTTAGGGTTTTGGGTTTAGGGTCCCAAGCCCAACCCCCAAAACGCGTTGGAGTTTCGGCTTTCGGTGGCTTTAGGGGTTGCGGGGTTCCCTGGGCTGGGTGGCGTGACTGAATTGGAATGCTCAGGTCGGGCCTGCGCATGAACTATCTCTGCGAGCCAGGTAGGTCACATGAGGGACTCAAGGTTTAGGTTGATAAATTAGGAGCTTTATCCGGCGCTTCCCGAAGATGTTCTGTTTAGGTGCGCTTCTTGGGCTCCGATTGAAGTTATTTTTCAGGTCAGGCTTTGTTGCGTCGGTCGTGGGTTGCTCGTGATGTGAGATGGAGCCATGGAAGCAAAAAGGGGAGCGGCAACCTCAAACGGATTGAGGGCGACTACAGGCTATAGGCACCTTAAGAACTGGACTAGGGTTTAAGGACTGCTGTAGCATGACAGCATGACTTCAGTCTTGGCAGTTGTTCAGGCTGCTAGATTAATCACGCACTTTCGGGAATTTTCTGTTGATTCGAGGTTTAGGGAAAATGGTTTAGGGTTTGAAGTGAGTTTGAAGCTTCTCAAAAGTAAGGGTTTGGGGTGCAGTAGGCGAGGGAGTTATTGACTCAGCGTGGTACTATACCATACTATACTGTACTGCACTGTACTATAATACAATATGATATAGCATACTACAATATAATAGGCTGACTTGGGGCTGCAAAAGCCTTGGAATGGCAGCCAGATGCGGACCAGGTTAAGGGTTTACGGGTTCAGGGCTTACATTTTGCGACAAGCCGGATGTCTTGCGAAGGCAACCGAGAGAATGTACAAGCTCGCGGCCAGGGTCGCGACTGTTTCCGTGGATAGTTTATGATGGCTCAGCTCAACAGTGGCACCCGGCATACGAGGGCCTACGACCGAGGCACCTTTCATCAGACTTTCAACCACGGCTCCAATTCATATCCGGTGCTACATTCCTGCCAATCTTGCATGCGGCTTGAGGGTTTAGGGTTTAGGGTTTCGGGCTCCTTAGCGCAGTTGTAGAACATATATACCCCCAAAACCGAGTGCTCCAAGGCCACACTTCTGGGGGTTAGGGTGGGGTTAACTATGATTCTGAACCTGGTACGCTTGCGAAAATCCAAATTTCAGCTATCTCTTGATTTAGGAATTCATCGTAGCCAAAAAAGCTACACAGTGTTTCCAAGTACCCTTAGACCCTATACCCAAAACCTTGAACCCTCAAGCTTATAAAACCCTATACCCTAAACCCAAATAATTACCTATACTGTTTTGAGGGCTCCTTATTAAAATTATTGTAAAATAATACACCCCCGAACCCCATACCCTGAATCCTTAAGTTAAGGGAGCTCTGGCTACTCTGGGCCGGAGAAAGCTGCGTCGGCAGGCAAGGCATTTGCCAGGAGATCGCGAGTCTCACAAAAGCCTCGGCCAGTGGCAGAAGGCAGATAGTATAACTGAACCCTAAACCGGGGTTTAGGGGTTTAGGGGTTTAGGGTTTAGGAAGTTTAGGGTATAGTATTGTGTTGTATCTTACAGTATGCTGTATCATAGTATACCATTTACGTTAAGGACTTTTATATTATCTTATGATATGTCATATCATACTATATTGTAAGATATGATGTCATATCATATTAGACTACATTAAAACAGATTAGGTTATATTGAAATTATATCTCTCTATATATATATATATATGCAGGCATGCACACACATAAGATGCTATATTACACTATACTAGACGATACTTGATCATGTTAGATATAGTAGGTTAGATGAGAATAGATGACAACATCTGCAGGTCGGGCTTCGAGTATAGGGGTACTTTGAAGGCTATTAGGGTTTTGGGTCTATGGCCTTGCGGCTTCTCAGTTGGGATGATCGTAGTGCGCTGGCTACTGCGACAGCAGAAGCGTTGCAGCTTCGGCGAGGCGATTGCGTGAAGATTGAGGGATTTTTTATGGTTTAGAAATGATTGCACCATAAGCCCCACAAGCAAGAGGACAAAGCTCTTGCTCGAAATCCTTCTGATGATGAGGGCGCACTCACCTCAAGCTCATGCCCTGTGCATGCAAGCCGTGGCATTGATTTTTCCGAGCTCTCACAAAACGACCTGCTGGACAGAGCATGTCGGCTTGGAGCTGAAGTAGAGTTTGATTGCAGAATTCCCCCGACCAACCCCTACCCCTCCGGAGTCCTCATATCAATTATACACACTCACCAGCGCCCAGACATGAAGCCTACTTCATATTCACATTGACATGAAGCTTGCAAGAATCTGGGTCCGCCGCCGTGGGTGGGCGCAGCTTCGGCTAGTGTGCCAAACTCGGCGAAAGCACGGCGGCACACAGTTCCAGCTACCACTGACCAATCCCAGTTGCAGCTGCGCTTTTACCAGCACGCCAATGCCTACCATTGCCGCAGTTTTCTGCTGTCCCTGCCCTACCCCTCTGAATTCTAGACCCCTGAAGTCCACAACCTCAACCCCTGCAAGTTTAAACCCTGCAAAACCGTGTCGAAACTTTGTAGAGCCCTCTTCGAGTTGCTACAGCGCGCCCCCTTTATCAAAAGGCAGCCCTGAACCCTAACCCCTAAACTCTAAAACCCTGATATAGGGGCCTAAATATACACCTATATTATTCTGGGGGTTCCTTATTCTATTTATAGTAAAATGTACACCCAAACCCTATTCTAATTATTAAGACGCCCATATTAAATACCCCTTATGGGAACTTTTATAGGATCCCGGTACAACAAAGGCTGGCCGAGGCCCGGATCCCTTTCGCCATCGCGGCCAGGCGAGCGTCGCCATACCCCGAATCCTCGACACCGGGTTCTACAAAGGTACGATCAGGCTTTGTGGAGCTTACCTGATTGTGGCTTCAAAGGCTTGAAAAGGGTTCAAGACCCTGGAGTTTGATTTCTCAAAGACCTAGAGACTTTGATGGGGCTTCAAGGGGTTTGAAAGGTTTTAAAAGGGTCCAAGATTCAAGACCCTTCAATTATCGAAACAACAGATCGGGCTGAAGGGTTTTTATGGGTTAATGCAGGGGCCTTAATCATTAGAATAGGGTTTTGGGGTAGATTATGCTATGATTATAATATGGACCCCCCCAAAAAAATACTGTAGAAGAGTAATTAGGCTTCTAGATTAGAGGTTTACTTAGAGCATCAGGAGACTTAGTAAATAGGGTTAAAAGTAAGGTAATCACAGTTATATTCACTTTGAACACCAACTAAGGTGTGTATGGCACTATGTACTAAGTCCCCTGATCCTCCAGGTACCCTTCAATTACCAGAAAGACAAAGCATGTTTATTTGGTTATCGGAGCGTGAAACCGCGTGGGTATACTCGTTCATTACGACTGGGTGGCGAGGGATTTCAATGCTGTTTGGCTGGCCATGCGAGCTTGCTGGCTAAGGAGGTAAAGACATAAAGACTGAGTATACAACTAGAGACCAACCATCATAACTTATAACATGTAAACTCTTTTCCGACACACGAAAGCATGTACATAATACACTTATATATGTATATGTATATACATAGAAATTTATACACATTTATAGGTTTATATACAGACAAATATAAAATTATGAAAACATGGATATATGATATATGTATAATATATATATATATATATGTATAATATACACATGTGTACACATGCGCTCATGTGGCAAACATGTGGCAGACTCTTGCAGAAGCCCGCAGCAACCATTGTGTTGCACCAGCCCTACAATCAGGTGCTGTCAGCTTCCCGGACATCCGTCGGTCCCGCGTGCGCTGAACGATGGGCTTCAGCTGTCGCACCCGCTCCTGCACTTGGGGAGTCGGTAAGACCCGGAACCCTGAACCCCGAGCCCCTACCGTACTCTAACCGGTACAATGCTACACCCCAACAACCCCTAAACCCGAAACCCTAAACATTGCCCAGAGGCGGCGACATTCTGTGAAAGACCAGGGGAAGTTTCTTACACCCTAAACCTGAACCCTAACCCCTAAACCAAACCTCTCTGGTCTGACTTGATGCCTCGGTTTTAGTTGACAGTTTAGAGTTCCGCTACGGAGCAGCTTCTGATCGCGGAGAGACTCCGTTAGGGCTTAGGGTTTAAACTTTAGGGGTTTGAGGCCCAAGCCTGTGCCAGTGCTGCAATGTAAGTCACAGTCACTGTCGCACTGTGGTCTGATTGTCTGGTCGACTCAGCCTCAACCCAAAAAGCCTACACCCTAGACTCCAGATACAATGAAGTCCGAAAGCCCTCAGACCCTAAACCCGGTGGGAACCAAAAGGTACGTAGACCTTTTGGGAGAATGCTACTCCAAAAAAGGGGTTTAGGCGGGTTTAGCTGATACGGACCCAATCCTCCCTCCCCAACCAGTCCTGGAACTGCAAGAAGTCTTCGTTCCTGACGGTCCAGGCTCCAACTCTATTTTCCCGAAAGGGCCGTTGTTTTCTCAGTTAAAGGAAACTACAGGTTTGGAG